CTGCAGTTTCAAATACCACTTCAGAAAACATGATGAGTTTAAGAGGGGGAAGGCTACTGCTACATGCAGTCTTCTGGGTCTCCTTTGCCCTGGTCTTTGAAGTGCTTGGAAGTCCTTCCTCACCCCTGGACGTGTTCAAGGCCAGGTTGGATGGGATCCTGAGCAACCCAGTCTAGTGGAAGGTGCCCCTGCCCATGGCAGGGGGGTTGGAACTACCACTTCAGAAAACATGATGAGTTTAAGAGGGGGAAGGCTACTGCTACATGCAGTCTTCTGGGTCTCCTTTGCCCTGGTCTTTGAAGTGCTTGGAAGTCCTTCCTCACCCCTGGACGTGTTCAAGGCCAGGTTGGATGGGATCCTGAGCAACCCAGTCTAGTGGAAGGTGCCCCTGCCCATGGCAGGGGGGTTGGAACTAGATGATGTTTAAGGTTTCTTCCAACCTAAGCCTTTCTATGCTTCTATGAAATGCCCATGAAATGCCTGCAATGGGCAGAAGCTTTCAGTCCAAATCAGCCCATATCACAGGTTTCTACCCCATTTTGCAACCTATCCTTAGCTCAAAAAAATACTCTCCCAGAAGCACCATCTGACCAGTTCAGCTCTATCCTCCTTGTCTCCTGCATCACATGAAATTTTCTGCAGTTTTAAATTGTGCAAAGTTCCTTTTGTCACATTGTTCTGCTTCTGGGCAGCAACTGTCAATAGCTCGTTCAGTCCCAAATCAATGTAGGCCATGGCCAAGTGACAATTTGGAAGGACCCAAAGTGAGAAGCAACTCCACTCACCTGCCACGGGACATCCTTCTTGAGTAGTGGTATGGGGTCACCACAGAGCAGTATCTGTCCAAGCTAATGAAGCACAGTGTGACAATGGATGCAGTGCAGAACATGACATCAAAGGAGATCCAGACTTTGCAGAACAGCTTCCCAAACAGCCACATCCCTGTCACCTCGTAAATGATACTGTGAGAGAGAACAAGGAGAAATCAAAGCTAGAAGGGCTGAGTTCCTGCATTCCCTGGAAGTGTCCAAGGCTAGGTTGGATGGGGCTCTGAGAAACCTGGTCTAGCAGAAGGTGTCCCAGCCCATGGCAGGGGTGGGAACTAGATGGTCTTTAAAGTCCTTTCCAACCCAAACCATTCTGTGATTCTATTTCTTCATGACTGCACTGAGGTAACAGCATATTTTATCATGGAGGTACTAAAGATCAGCATGCAGCTCAGACAGCAGGGATTCATTCTCAAAGCACAACCCAAGGCAATAACCCTGTTTGAAGAAGGCCAAACATGCTTCTTGCCTGCACTCCTAAGTGAATGCCTTCAGAGAGGTGCTTTGCCCCCCAGAGCTCCCAAAATTTAATCTGCACAGCTTTGTTTATCACAACCTTTTCCAGTGTCCTACAAGGCACAGACTTTTATGATTTCTTCCCAATTCCTGGGGCATGGGTGATCAAGAAACTCACTTTACATCTGATCTTATGCTTCAAAACTAGAAAGCATTTTCACTCTTCGTCAAAAAAACTCAAACAAACAAACTAAAAAAAGCAAAATCTCAGGAGGAAGCCTGTGCAGCTTGTACATTATGTAGTTCATAAATGCCTCAGCAAGGTAAACACACCAGCAAAAAGCAGACATTATGCCAGAATTATTTCTAACAAAAGTCAAGAGGGACCTGTGAGAAGTGAGCAGTGAAGGAAGGAAGGAACATATGGCAGCTGTAGGAAGGCTGATGCATGTTTCTATAGCATTCAGCTAGATGCCATTCCCTTCCCCTCCTTCCTTTCACCAGCTTTCTGTGACTCCTGGGGTGCTGCTGAAATCACCACTGTGTGGGAATTTGTTGAGTAACTCCCTAGTGCTGCAAAGCTTTAATTATCCTGTAACCTCCCAGCTTGCTGGTTAAATACAGTGAGATCAGGCCTGCTGTGCTGCAATGTTCAGGTGGGCTCCAGCAAGGGCAGAAAGAGACAACTTGATGTCAGAGAAGAGAGAAAACATTGTCTGATCTACATCTCATTAGCAATAATTCATTAAAGCAACTTGTTCCAGAGCATAACTGCTGTAGGTGGATGCAGAGCTGCTGAGGGGACCCAGCCCTCAGCAGCAATTTGTAATGTGGGATGACCAGCAAAAATTCAAGCAAACCTTAATCTACAGCACAGTCTGTCCCTACACTGTGGTGGCCTCCACATGGGCAGCATAAAGGGTCCCACTGCACACACATGGAACGGTGTCATGGGTCTTTTTCAGATGGGGAAATGAGACAGAGAATTGAAGTATGGGTTCAGGAATGGACCTGGGTGCCTTGTTGCCATCCCTCAGAGCCCTCTGTATCCCTAGGGATGCTGCAGAGGCTCTGGTGTGAGCACCATGACCTTCCAGAAGTCGACATGCTGCTGTCATGACATTCCCACACACAGATCCCAGCTGAGCCGGTGCCTAGCTCTCATCTGCACACACCTGAGACACACGGTGGGATGCCCTTGACTTAGCAGATGTTCTCACACCACTGGAGAGTGGATCTTTGTTCCCTCTTATCTGATGTCAAAGGTCTCTGCAGCTTGGATATTATGCTGGATAAGAAGTAATACTTAAAAGCCCAAAGAAACACAGAGCAGAAGTAAAGTCACCTCTGTGCTTCATTTATGCTTGCAAAAGAAAAGAGTAGCTGGAAATATTCAGCCTGGAAATGACTGGGCTGGCTGGAGTATCTAGAGGAAAATCTGAACCTAGCTGAATTGCTCCTGCAAACAAGCCAAGCCAGGAACAAAACAGAAGTCTTACTCTTATGAAATTAAGATGCCAGGTGACAAACTCGTTTTTCCTTTCTGTCACATATTCCTGAGCCAAACTGGCTCCTAAAATAATTTCTTTGGCACATACTAACATGCCAACTGAGGAGCAGACTGAAATACAAAAGTGCAACACAGATACAAAGCCAAGACTGTGAGAAAGATGTGAAACAACAGCCACTCCATCAGCAGGGCCAAACGATGCTGACGGAGCCAGCAGGGTCCATTCCTTACCCTGTGGCCCACCAAGAGCTGGCAAGTCTTCCCACCAGGCAACACCAGGACATTCAGGTGGGGCACAAAGCACCAATCATGCTCTGCTCTTTGGTTCCCTTTGTAATTTTTGGGGGGTTAAACAAGACAGCACTCTTCTAGGAGGACTGCTTTCTCTCTGGCTGCATAGCAAAGTCATTGGTTTGCATGGAAATCCTTCCCTCACCTCCCCCCTCACACCTTGTAATGCCTTCTACCATCCTCTGACAGGATACGTCAGGAGTGATGGTTTGAACCCAAAAGAGGGTAGATTCAAACTAGATATAAGGAAGATTTTTTTTACAATAAAGTTGCCCAGAGGAGTGGTGGATGACCCATCCCCAGAAGTGTTCAAAGATAGGTTGGATGGGGCTCTGAGCAACCTGATCCAGTTGCAGATGTCCCTGCACACTGCAGGGGGATTGGACTAGATGACCTCTAAAGGTCCTGCCAGCCCAAACCAGTCTGTAGTTCTACGATAATTTCAGAACCTGGACTTAAAATTCTCCAAGCTTAGAATTTGAATTAGCAGTAATATTTTAGTAAAGTTAACTGCTGTTCTTTCACGTGACACTACAGACTTGTAACTCAGTTTGCAGCTGCTTGTTGGGACAATATCTTTCACTACCAAATTCAAAAGTGCAGGCAGCTCTGTGGGAACCAAAGCACAGAACATGAAAAGAGTTCAGCATCTTCACATTGCTCCAGGAACCTGAAATAGGGTGCAGCTCCCTGCTTTACACAAACCTAGAGCCACTTTGCAGAACAAGACAGCCAGAATCACAGGTGAACTGGTTTTTTGGTTTGTTTTCCTGGTTTAGCCTGGTAATGAAGCTCCCATAAATATAAACCTCCTGCAGGGACACCTGCTCTCTCAAGGGCTTCTTCCTCCATTAAATGTAGGGGGAGCCTGAATTACTCTACTTTAAAGAAAATAAATTCCTTACATTCACACAGAAAGAGGGGAGATGGACTTCATCCCATGCCAACACTGCAGCTATATATGTGCAGTTCAGTCAAGTAACAGAGGCAAAACAATTCCCCCAAGAGCAGTGAATGGCACTTGCTATCCCACTGCAGCTCTTTCAGCCTGTGAGTGCAGGCACAGTATTTATTTTGCAATGTAGCTGGCCTGCCCCACAAACTCCACTGGTGTGTTGTCTGAACCAGAAGGAGAGTAACAATTTTGTATTTCACCAAGAATATGAAGAATAACATCTCCGCATATCACTTTCAGGTTCAGTGATATGAAATAATTCATTTTCCTGTGCTATGAGGAACGTTTTTATTTCCCCTTCCCACTACCAGAAAAGATAAGGTTAAAGAAGTGTAAAAATCAAAATCACAGAATTTAACTCCACTGATTTCAATAGTCATTCCTGACTAAGAAAAAATGAGGGAAAAACACAGTCTGTGATTTGCTCTGCCTTTGAAGCACTAGCAGGATCGACGCAGTCATTGCTCTTAATGCTGCCACACCAGTGGCAACCTCAGCTCCACTTCCCAAACACTCAGAGCCTGCAAAATCCTACCAACCAGGCTGGCCCTGTGTGCAACACAGAGCTAGCCCTAGAAGAGGGGACCTATCACACTGGAGCCACCTGCAAAGCTGGATATCTCGTTCAGACAAGCAGCCAGGATCCCTATGCAGCCAACAGGAAAAATACTCTTCAGAATTCTTCATTCTAAGGGGATCCATTATACAGGGTAGGGAAACAGGCACAGAAGCATGTATAATCACCAACCCACAGTTAAGCAGATTGAACTTCCAGCCTGCCCTGCTCAAAGAGCAGATGCAGAGCCAGGAGAGAGGATGTTCACACACACATCACCATCTCTTCCCACTAAGCACTTCTTACCTGAAGGGCATGACCAGACAAGCCACGAGGAAGTCTGCCATGGCTAGGGACATAATGAACATGTAGGTGACAGTGCGCAGCCTCTTCTCCACCACCGGGCAGAGGAACACTACTGTATTTCCCAGCAGTGTGATCAAGTCAATGAGGGTTAGTATCAGCCCAATGAACACCTCCTGGAGCCCAATCCCTCCCCTCACCAAGGAGGAGGCAGCAGAGGAGAAATTAGAGAGCCAAGTTTCATTTTTGTCCATCAGCATCATCCCACTGTTAAAATCTGAAAGAAAGGAAAAAATAATGACTTTCATGCACAACTTGTAGGTCTGTGAAAGGAAGGACAGAAATAATGTTCATGCTTCATTTACTTCAAGAAAAAAGCACACACCCTGCTGTGCCCGTGCCATCACTGTCCCACGATTATCCATTAGAAGTGTCTGAAATCCTGAGGGTGAGGATAAATGTGCAGCACTGGCTGAAGTCCTTCATGGCGATTAAAAGCCCTCCTGAATGAAAAGGCATCATCAGATGAACCAAAAACAAAAAGAAAAAAGAAATGTAGTGAGAGCAGAGAGAGGACAAGCAAACAACTGAAAGCCAAAATTAAAGCAGCTGGGCTAAATCCCACTGAACAGCATGCCACGTCCACAAAATGTGGAGGCTGGAACTAGATGATCTTTAAGGTCCCTTCCAAGCCAAACCATTCTATGATTCTATATTTTCATTAACATCTTTGCCACCCCCAGACCAGCTGAGGCTGCTTACCCAGGCTGGCTGCTCCTGTAACCCCACTATTCAGTCCATGCTTTGCTCTGGGTTGTCCTGGTACTTTTTCAGGCTCTGAAGCAATAAGGTGCTTTTTTTCACTACCATGACAGGCAGCTCCATCCTCCAGTCTGAATGGCCATGCAGGGCTGCCAGCAGCCACACAAGGAGCTTAATCACAGAACAGTTTGGGTTGGAAGGTACATTGAAGATCATCTAGTTCCAACTCCCACACACAAGTACTGGCAAGTAAGCAAGTAATTGAGATGTCTCAGATGCAGCAGTGACCTCAGACTCATGTCCCCTTCTCTGCCCAGATGGGAGATGATGCTTCCAAATCAGTAATGGGATTTTTCAGTCAAGAAAATGCACATGCATGTGTCCACATCTCAGTTCCCAGACTGTGACTGAGTGGTGTCACAGGTACCTGGGAAGGTGGGAATGATGCACTGCAAAAACTCCAGTAGTTCAAAACTTACCGATGTGGCCAAGAGAACACAAACACAAAACCTGTGGGGAAAGAGAATTATAGAAATATTTCCAGACATCAAGTTGTTATATCTGAATACTGCCACTTCTCCTGTGACCAGACTCTGCTTCCACAGTACCCTCAGCTCAATCCCACATCTCCATGGCATCACAACTGAGTGAAGCATGAGGATGAGGCTGGGTAAATGTCCCTGTAGTCCAACATGTGTTATCTCACAGTGGCCAAACTTTGGCTTAGGAGCAGTGTAAGAACAAGGCAGCATGTAGGAAAATTTCCCCAATGTCTGTTTTTCTTTCCAGCAGCCTATGATCCAGAATTATCTCTAAAGGCAGTTTCAAGGATTTTTAAATCATGAAATTGTCCTGATTCCTCTTTGACCCAGCAAACTTTGAGCATCCATTACCTCCTACAGCAACAACTTTCACAGCTTAGCTATGCAGCATGCGAAGAAACTCCTCTTTTTGCTGGCTTTGAGCCTGTCACCAGCTCTAGTTTCATTTGGTGTCCTCTGGCTCTTGTACTGGAAGAGATATCATGCAAACAATCCCCATCCATTCTCTCAATGCCACTGGTGGGCTCTTTAACCTCTGTCACATCCCCCATCCCTTGTGTCATCTCTTGGTCAGGCTGAGGAGCCTCCACCTACTTGCTGATTCCTTGCACAGAAGAAGTGGAGGACTCCTGGTTCCCTCTCCTGCTGTTCTGAACCTCTGAAATGGGCCAAACACACAAACAATTTCCAAGAGATAAATGCACTGTGGATTTATCTAAATGATGCTCTCTGCTTTGTCCTGCTTCCCTCTCATAACCATTTGATAACTACTGCTGATTTTGATTGGCACTTAGCACTGAGCTGACCTTTCCACTGGGCTATCACCACCCAAAGATCTCGTTCCTGAGCAGTAACATGCAGCTCAGAGCCCATTGCTTTAGATGGGAAAATAGGATGAAATGAGGAAATTAAGTTCTCTCCATCTTCCCCAAACTCCATCACTTCACAGTTGAATTCCTTCTTCCACTTTAATGCTCACTGAGCCTCATAAAAGCTTTTCTGCAGTTCTTTAAGTCAGGTCTTATTTTTCATGCCTTGATTAAACTTTGTTTCACCTGCAAATATCACCACGATTCAGTATTTTTCTTGCTGGAGATTTATAGAACTCCACACATCCAAGCCCTTAGCCCTGTACAGAACATTGCTGACCTCACTTCCACACAGTAACTCACCATCCATGGCTCCCCTGCATTTCACCTATTAAAGGTGAACAGGACTATTAAGTTTCCTTAAAATCCCCCACCAGGAGGGATCATATTGAAAACCTTTCAGAAAACCAAGCTAGGTGCTTCTCATCCATATACCTGCTGACTTCTTCCAAGCACTCTTATACCATTGTGAAGCTGGGCTGCATTTTCATAAAGCAATACTGACCTTGTCCTTGGATGTAATCGTGTATTACATGCACCTACTCATCCTTCAAAATCCTCAGCTCCCTCCCCTGACTTCTGTTTATTTGCTGGATTTAGTGGTTACCTTTTCTCCAAGTCAAAAAAAAAAAAAAAAAAAAAATCAACAAGAATCTACAAACAAACAAACAAACCCCAAACCAAAACAACCCAACAAGCTGAGAAATAACTAAATCTGTCTAGAAAAAATTAAGAAGGAAAGCTCCTCCTCAGTGGAGCTGGGACTCACTGACTGAGACCTGGAGCTCTCCGGCTCCTCCAGCGCTAAGAACAATCAGGTGTTTTGGACATGTGGGAGCCCCCTCAGCCAGTACGGCTCGAAGTCTGCAGCCTAACAGCCCCACTGAGGTTGTCATCAGACTGGATGGGCTCCTGCAGAACAGCTGGATTTCAATGCAACCACACTTCCCTGCACAAAAACTGTTCAGCCCTTTCTCCTCCCTGCATGGTCTGCACAGACAGCACAGTGACTGCCCATTGGGAAAGCCACATGGAGACAATGCATGGCCACACAGACAGCCAGAACCTGCCACTGTAAGGGCCATTACATGCTCCACATCCATCTTCCAGCTCATCTTCCATACCTGCTGGGAGATGCTGGTGTGTCCTCACACATCCAGGCCCTCTGCAAGGTCTGGAAACAGTCCACTGATTTGCACCTCGACTTGACCCCTAATCAGTTTGAGCACATGAGCATCACTCAGCCCCATGCTCTCCCAGAATATAGTGCAGCATTAAGGTAGGTTCCCAAAGACATGAACAGCAAAAATCAGGTTTGATGAAAAATCAATTGTTTAAAATTGAATCTAACTATTTTTTGCTTTGAATAATCAGAGATGAGAATGCTGCATTTGTTATTTGGGATTTTTTTAGATCTACCACTGAAACAAGAAGGTTTTGAAGCCACATCTTCATTTTCCTGCAAATAATGACTGTTCCTACATGGTTGCTAAGTCTGTATCAGTGTTAGTACAGCTCTAATTAAAGCAGATCATTACTTACACAACGTTGCTCTGCTGCTTAAAGTCTGTGAATACACACCATTCTCAAACTTAAAGTAGAATTAGGACATGGTTATTAGTGTCCCTCTTTGCAAGCTCTCTGTGCTCCTCAAGTACCACTTTAGCCACCAGCCTGGGTTAAAAGGTCTTCTCAAGTGAAAGACTCACAGCAGGTTCCTTAATGCAGGATACATCCAGGAGTATGAGAAAATAGTTCACAAAACCAGGAGACAGATGTGGTCACCTTCATAAAACATTAGAGAAACACTCCCTTGGTCATACTTGGTTTTTGTCAACACAAAGGCTGAGAGGCTAAAAATGAGGATCTCCTCCTTTGACATCCATGATTTCCCTGACAACAAAGAGAAGGGATGATGGATGCTTGAAACTTCAGGTTTGAACCCTGAACTCTAATTCAGGGTGCAGGCAAGAAGGTTCTGCTGCTCCTGGTTCCTTTTCAAGGATCCTCAGACAGAGCATCCCAGAAAGCTCATCCACAGTCCCTGCACATCCAAGCACTCAAGCTGGATGTCTCCCATCCTTTTTGCTCTGACTGAGCAGCCAGCATTTATCCCTTGCTAAGAAGTACTGCTCCTGAAACACCTGGAGAATTGTTAATACAGGAGAGCAGGGGATGATACAATCTTAGCCTCTCTGTGGAAATCTCTGGGACAAAGCAGGATGTGCTATCCTTCCCAGGGATGTATTTCCACAACTTACATCTTAGAGATTTTAAAATCCCCTGTGAGATGCAGCAACCCATGTGGTCACACTCCTGATACAGCAGAGTCTTTCTGTAACATCAGTCTTTCAGTCTTTCCAGCAAGGAGCCCTCTTAAATCAATGGGACAAATGCCTAGTTGTACTATGATGTGGGATCATCCAAGGTTTCCTGGGGATCTCGAGTGCCTTAGGGTTTGAATTGTTCTTATTTGGACATTACAGTTTTGCTTCCCTTCAAAAAACCAATGGGCTAGATTCTGTTCTCAGTCTGCCTGAGCAAAGCAGCTCCATCATTTCAGTTTCCCTTTAATATCCAGAAAGTTTGACCTGAGTTATTCAGCAGACAAACCCCAAGTGAAAGGTTAATTTCATCAGCAAAAGTTATATTTTCATAGCAAGGGAGGGAAAAAAAGCTCCACAATCTCAAGGCTGACCACACTTTATTGTCTTAGAGGAATGATGAAAACTGGAAATATATTACTGGAAATATATTTGCTGTCAGACTCTGTTCCTCTTCAAACCAGGTATGAACCAGTGTTCAGCAGCATGCAACCACACCTGACCCAGAACCTCAAACACCTTTCCCTCCTCCTCCCCATAACTGAAAACTACAACAGCTCAGTAATTTGTTGAACAGTACATTACTGTGCAAGTCTGTGTGCAGTGATAAAGGGATAAAGGAGGAGGAACATCCCTGGGGATACTTCCACCTCTACAACATGCATTTAAAGAGGCCTTGCAGCAAGTCAACTTCTGCACTGACTTTCCTTCTTTCTCTCCCTCTATCCAGCTTTGCCATTTCTCAGGGCATGAGCAGTTTCTTTTCATCCCCACATCAGTGCAGAACAACTCCTACAGCCTCTCTGAGAGCCCCTGGTCTGGAAACCCAGGAAAACATACAGTCCATACCTTCAAAACTGACAGCTGAATGCAGCCAGCCAGCTTGAAGCAGCTCCTGCATCCCTGAGCCCGGAACGTGGTGCTCCCCAGCAGCAAGGTGCAAGGGACCCAGGTCAGCTCGCAGGATCCCACCCCACGAGCTGCTCCCAGCCTGGCCGAGCAAGGCTGGTGGCTCCTGCCCCAGCAAAGGGCATCACACCCACATCTACAGACACCACAGTGGTCTGAGATCACCCCCAGCACATGTGCACACTCCTCCCCAGCAAGTCTCTTGCAACCACTGCTCGGAGCAGCGGGATGAGACTGGAACACAACCACAGCAGCAAAACTCAAGGCAAAGTTAACCCCGCGCTGCAAATGTGAGGGTGCTCATTGGTGTTAGGAGAGCAACTACTTTGGGCTCCCAATCGCCAGAGAGGGCAAAACCCTCAGCCCTGGGGTGCAAAAAAACCCAACCCAACCCTGGGGTGCGAAACCACCAACCGCTGGGTGCAAGAACACTAATCCCTGGGGTGCACACCCCTAGTTCGGCAGTGCCAAATCCATCCACCGGGGTAAAAAAATTCCAAGCCTCTGGGGGTCAAAACGCCAACCCCCGGGATGCAACACCCCCAGACCCAGTGGTGCAAACCCCCCGGACTCCGGGGGGCAAACGCCGCGGACATTGGAGAGCGCATCTCCCTGTGCGCCAGCCCGGGGCGGGGAGTCAGCCTCGGGAAGGGATCTGTCTCGCAGGTGGGGAAGGAGCGGGGTGAGGCTTTCCCGGAGAGATGACAATTTTGGGGGGGGAATCCTTTGGTGGGTGTACAGGGGTCCCACGCAGAGCCCTGCCCTTGGGAGCGCTGCCCGGAGAGGGATCGCGAAGGGGATGTCGGCGGCGTCAC